AAAAAAAAAAAAAAAAAATTAAATTGGCTACGATATAACGAAAACGATATAGTGATTCATTGAAAGTAAATCGAACTAGAGGAATAATTCAATCGGATATTTCGTGCTGCTTGATAAATGTCGAGTCAACTAATTCCCGTCAAGCGATCGCGCGCGGACATGCTATTTTCGACGAGCATAATGTACGCACGCGTGTTCAATGTGACGTGGCAGTGCTAGAGCATTTCCAGTTTCTGAATACTACTTGAAATTCTTTACTTGGGATCATGAGAGTAATAATCTCGAGATGCTAATGTGAAAATGTTACAATTCGGCGAGATTTATTATTGAAAAAAATTTAGCATCTATTTCATATACTTTTGTTCCAACCATGTTTCGGAACAACAACAAAATCGCGAGATCTATTTTTAGATTTATATACAGTTTCACGCAAATATTTTATTGCCTATAACAAATAATAATAATACTCGCCACGCAAAGAAACCTTTTATCTTCCATTCGATATACATATATTTTGCGATAAATTAAATGAATTTCATATATTGTGCTCTGGTCGTGAACATTTTAAAATATAATTGAATATTTAATTGAAATAGAGGGGTTTTGGTACTCACCGCTGTCGGCGTAGGTCTCGGAGCCGTAACCGTCTTGTAGACCGCTGGACCACGTGCCTTCGTATCTTGCCGTGGATGTGGTAGATTGTCGGACTCCGTAGCGACCTTTGAATCCTTGAGTCCATTCTCCTCGATAGAGCCAACGACCACGGGTTTCCATACCCAAGCCATGTCTCTTGCCATTCTGCCATTGTCCCTCGTAAGCTGACCCGCTGAAATACGATTTGCGAAAGTGATTAGTGTTTTAAAAAATAGTTTTCTATACAAGAAACTTGAAAGTATAAGACAATTGTTTCAGCAGTTTTTAGTCATATCCATTCGCAAAAATATCATTACGATTTACGCTTTGAGAATTACATGGCTATATATTTACGCTATCACAGATATTATCAATTAAAAAGTTGTTTAATTAATACACGGATAATAATTGCATACACTATCAATGATAATGACAACGGTTTTGTCTTCATATTATTAGATATATATGCAGATTGAAATGGCACGTGTGATATCATCTTGACAGTTTAAGCAGGTAAAAAGAGAGAGAGAGAAAGAGATTTTGTGCATGCATATGTGCGCACGCGCGTATACATTTACGAATTTTCTTTAAATATATTTTTTTATATTTTAATATCGTAAAGAGAAATAGACGGAAAGCTAATCGGAGTGAGTGCTTCTTCAATTGTGATTAAATCCGCATTTGCATTAAATTAATGTTATTTGAGAAACATTTTTTCTAATGCAGCGTCAAGAATATAAATTTCGCTTTTTAAAGTTATCAATATTTCTCTGCAAAAAGCATAAAAAAAGCTTGGAAAGCTTTCGTGACAAATTGCTACTCGAACGTGCGTTTCTGCGGATGATCGTTAAATAAAAGACATGTAACTAAAAATGTGTCGGCATGCAAATATGAAAACTTTTTTACAGAAATATTTTTCATAGAGTAACAATCGCGCGACAAAAATTTATATTATTCGCATAAACTATTGTCTAGTTTACGTTAAATACATTACAAATTTTGACAATATAAAAATTGTTTCTACACAATGCCGTTTAATTATAGATACTATAATTACAACATTTGATAACGCTACGATACGTTTTGATTATATATTCGTTATAAAATTGAAAAATAAATAAAAAAACATGCTTTATCTTTATCGAAGGACGAAAAATATAATATAATAAATATGATTAATAAGTTTAACGTCGTTAACAAAGTTAAACTGATACGTTTAACAGTACTCGACATTGCGTTTTAACTCAAGATTTCAATTTCAACTCTAATCTCATATCTTTTTTTTATCAAAGCTAGGACTGTAACTATGTTATAAAAAATAGAGAGAGAGAAAGAGAGAGGAATTTAGTTAAATCAACTTTTTAATTAAAAGATTTAGGGAATCTCTTCATTTTCAGCATAAAGACACATTATTCCCGAAAAATTGGACGATTATCCCGGCCTTGAACTAGATCCTGAAGTGAATCTTAGTGATCCGGTCCCCGTTGTCCTTGCGCTCGGTGACCCAGTTTCACAGGATCGGGAGATTCCCTCCCCGGTATATACCGGGATACGTGTCAAGGTCCGCGCCATTCGCTCATCTCGCGTTATGCGACGGAGTCACGTGAATTTGGCACGAAACCGTCAATGAAATGTCTAATCGAAACTCATCGGAAGAACATTTTTTACAGCTATCAAAGACGCAAGCCTCTCGAAATAGTTTTGTTGGACTTGAGTTATTTTCACAGCGTGTCGTATTCAATATTCGTTTGTCTTACGAAGCGAACGTTAACGCTGTTAACACACAGTGGCGGTATAACGTAATACCGGATAATCACAGCTACGCGGAAAAGCATACACTCGTCACAGTGTATATATATAAACGAGCTTAGCTTTAATCCTTTATTAAACTCAGAGGAGCAGCGTCCAACTAACCGGCACATTCCGAGAATGCGCCAACGCGAAGAGAATATAGGATTAATTTATTTCTCAAGTAGAAAAAAGCGCAATTAGACCGCCGATTCGGTGAATTGTATGTGTTCGCGCGCATGTGTATGGAAATTTATAATTTATCATAATAATTGTGCTCGTTGCGTGAAATTTCATTGATAAGGACGCGCAACTGTCCGCTAACAGATAGCGTCGCCCGCAATTCAACAAGTAGTCTGTATGAACGATAGTTGCTCACCTAGGCCAAGTGTAAACACCGGATACTTCAAAGCCGAAATGCCAGCTGCCGGAGTAGGCTCCCTGACCTTTAGGCCCGGTGCATACGCCGTGGCCGTGGGCCTTTCCGTCCTCCCAACCTCCGCAATAGGTCCCGCCGTCGTCAAAGTCGAATCTGCCTCCGTTAATCTGCGTACGATTGGACGCCACGGTGGCGGTACCGGTCGCGCCAGGTTGCGCCGGACTTATACCACCTGTTTGCGACAATTGAGTGCCCCCCGCCACCCCATTCGGCGCCCCGGACGATTGCTGGCCGGAGTGTGATTGTTGCTGCATCTCTCGCGGCTATCGCAGGCACTGTTCGATTCCTCGGTCTCCTCGACCTCGTCTACCGTCTATCTTTCTTTCGTCTTCGTCTTGATTATGATCGCTGTCGTCTCGATCGTACTCTTGGTCTTTCGTCAGCAACGTCTGCACGTGCCTTGTTTCGGATGTCGTTCCATTCTCCTCGCTGCTGCCTTTTCACGTCCGCCTTCACCGGATATCTACAATAACACCGTAGAATCGAACGTAGATTCGCCGTAACAGTGGCACGTATCTATCGTCAATGTCGTTGCGAGAAACGTCACACAAACGAGTGACAAACGTTACATAGGAATTTGCCGAAATTATTATCTTAGCGCGGAAGATCGCGGAGGCCCGACAACCGCGCGTCAATCCCCGGACCACGAACTCAAGCCCGAATTCTCAAGGCTTGCCTGTCATCGCGACGCAACCCGCAAAAGAGAAGCCGGACGTGAGAAAAGAATCAGTGAGCCTCGCCGGGCCGGGTTTAATTTTAGTTCGACTTCGAGGAACCAAACATGCGAGCGCGAATCTACGTCTCCCGATCGCGAACGCGAAAGGTTTCTCGCTCTCTTCCGGTGCCGAAAGATTACACGCGAGAATGATTGCTGCCTTGATAGTAGCGGCTTTAGAATCGATACATTCTCTTGAACACTTTTTATCCATTCTCTCTTGTTATCATCCTCTATCACGTCGAATCGCCGCCACCTCGAGACAACACGTTCCCGGTCACCTCGCCATACTACCGTTCCGGTCGGTCTCCTTCTCACTTACTTGCGTACACATACACACACACATACACACACGCACGCACGCACGCACGCACGCACGCACACGCACACACACATACATGCACACATACGACACTTACGCACTCGCACATACACACGCACGTGACGCCGCGGCCGCCTGCGATTATAGATCAACGGGGTCGTGTCTCGCCGAGGGTTCTCGAAAAATCGCACATCCAGCGTCTCACATGCAGCACTCTAGAGCTCTGAAGCGCTATGGTGACCATTGGAAAGTGTCGTCGTCAAGAGAGAAGATCCGTTGGAAATTGCGCGCTAGATCGCGTTTTCTCTTCAAACTGTCGAAATTAGACAACGAGCTCAACGGAGTCGCGTTTTCGTTATTCGTCTGACGCAGTTACGCAACGCTTCTATAAGCATCCGTGATCCGCTCGGAATGTGGTTCTCTCTCTCTCTCTCTCTCTCTCTCCCCCTTTTTCTCTTTCTTACTCGCTCTCTCTCTCTCTCTCTTTTTCCCTCTATCTTTGTCTCATTTGCGTCTTCTATCGCTCAATCTCTCATTTCTTGACTCTTCATTCGAAAGCTTTTCTCTTTCTATGGAAAACGAAGACCCGATAGAATTCTTCGATGAGTCATCCACGAGATCTATCTACGGTAGATCGGTCGATGACTAAGATGACACGGGATTGGTCTCACGGCGAAACCTCGGCGAAACCTCGGCGAACACTGAGTTTACCTCGAGCGAATTGCAAAATGGATGTAAGACGAAGAGGAAAGCAGAGCGATGCCGAACTCTATGTATACACATGAATACGCAACACACACACACACACATACACACATTCGCGCGCACAGAGAGAGAGAGAGAGAGAGAGAGAGAAAGAGAGGGTGGGAAAGGGAAAGATAGACACACGTGGACACGCGCGCGCGCGCGCGCGCGAGCTTTCTTTGCGTTGACGGCGATGGACTCTGTTCTAGCTCGGTGCGCAATATCGGCAGCAGCAACATCTACATCAGCATCATCGTCAGCATTCGCACAGGCACACGGTCAGTTGCATCGTCGAACATACGCCGCTTGTTCGCCTCTCCGCCTTGCGCGGCTAGAACGGTGCCGTGCGCGTCTCCGCTCTAGCCGCGAGTTCGGCTAGCTGGCTAGGAGTTTCTATTTTTACCATGGAGTAGCAAATTGTTCCTTACACGAGGCGGCGGTGGCAGTAGCGGCAGCAGCAGCAGCACCAGCAGCACCAGCTCTGTCGAGTCGAATCGTTCGCCAACGCGACTGAATTCGGACAATTTATAAATAGTAGAAGTTCTCGCACGCGCGCGCATGGCGCGGACAATCGAGGATTCGCGGGATGATGCGCGATGAGAGTGATTCAAAGTGCTCCGAGGTGATTGCTAATTGATCCTCGGCACTATCGATAATATCGCTCGATGCGCGGACACGCCAAGGACTCAAGAAATATGATAATTAAAGAATCAATCGATACATTCTCTTATCCGTTTGTCGCGAAAAGATCATCTTGTAGCGGAAGATGTACTTTTTCGCTACCTAAGCCAAGAAGAAGAAGAGCTAATTTTCACGTTTCGATAGTGCAATTTAAAGGAAAAGAGTAGAACACAACCGCGTTGATGATTGGCGAAAAAAGAAAAGAGAGATGCGTGACACGTGGTGCACGTGGTCGCGCGAATATTGTGTCTATAGACCGTGTCTCTGTAAGGCTGCATTTTTAATGAAGCGCGTGTAGCGGCGTGATATCGGACAGTTACTCCTCCGCGAACGCGAGATAAGAACTAGGCTTCGATTACCGAGCGTGGGAAGGGGAGAGGGGGTTGTTCCAATATACGTTGGAAACGAGGCGAGTCAAAGTCGATGATCCGTACAAGTCTGATATTACCACACAGGGGGCTACGCTACGCTCTATTGATGACAAACGAAGCCGGGACGAGACGGAATTATTTATCGACGCGTGCCATTCTTTTTTATAACATAAATCAATTAATCGATGCCTTCGCTATTAATAATGATGCTAACGAAAAGTGACGGCCGAGCTGCATTTGGTTGTTTGTGCGACGAGAAAAAAAAAAAAGAGAAAGGGCCGATGCCGGCTTGTGAGCTATCGTTACACTTTGCACGGATCTGTTGCCCGAAAAGGCGACCAGAAATGTGCCAGCGGAACAGTCTCGCGAGCACAATCTGTCGTTTATTACGCGTGGCGGCGCGTGTCGACGCGTACAAAACTCGGAGTCGGAATTCAGGACTGAACGGCGAGATCGAATAGACGAATGCGATAAAAAGGCTACGAATGCAAGTTGGTCCTCGTTGATGATAGTCAGCATCGACGACGAAATATTTGACACGAGCTTATCCATCAAATGACGCGTATAAATTATTCCGAACAATTATTCCCTATCAGGATACTAGTTGTTTAATTAATTAATTAATTAATTAATTAATCGCGCGATAAGCGATGCAAAAGAATACTTGACGATTTAATAAACGATAAATTAATCTCGATAATTCTATTTTTCGCCATTTCCATGCCTAATGAAATAATGTTGTTTACAACATTTCGCGAATGTAACAAGATTTTGTGATTGAGGAATTTCGTGGAAAGAGAGCAGATGCGTTGAGAGCGTATGGTCTAGATTCAATCGGCTTCTCTGTCGGCGTGCGAGGAAGCACAGATCTTTAATTAAAAGTTTCACGTTTTTCTCCTCTTCTACACGTTTATCTTCGCGTTTACTTTGGACGCAATTTCATAGGCGACTCATTTCCCAAGAAATTTCTCGGTAAAAAAGAAGAGAAGATTAGAAAACGGAAAGAGACGGAATAGAATAGAGATAAATGAACGATAAATTCTCTTTCTAAAGATTATTCGAAGCTATCGATGACTATCCCTCGGGCCATTCTGGCAATATACTACACAAATTCGAATTTCATAAAAGATTGATATCAAATATTCTCTACGTACGTCAACGACGGATACTTTGATGGATTGAACATCATCAAACACTTGCTCACCAATTTATAAAAGTGATTAACTCATATTCCAAATCACGTACATCCCTGATGTATATATGTGCGATTAATTCACTTTTATCACCAACACTCGAGCGAAAGGTAAAGTCGATGCGAAGAAATTAGGGACGTCATTTATCCTCGGAGAATCGTTTCTGCGAAAATCTGCACGCGACGAATAAGACGCATATGACCGCACAGCTTCGGGCTCGAGCACATTTCCGGGCGATCGATCCGGCTCGGTCGGAGTAACACGTGCAGCGCCGGTGGCGCGGCGTCGTCGTCTCGCACCCTCGTCCGTTTATTCAAAATCTTTCCCGGATACAGGCACACATACATACACATACACACACGTGCATTTCCGCACTATGCAAGTGCATCCCCCTACACACAATAGTCGTTAACAAAGGACAACAATTTTTCAGCGTATCAGGGAAAATGCGTTTTCAATGCGTCGCGTGCGCCGGTTCTTCTCTCTCTCTTTTTCTCCTTCTCCGCGTCAGACAAATGCGCGGTATAGTTCCCTGGCACCTAATATGTGTCACGAGGACGCAACATTTTCTACATGCACATGTAACGTGACGAGCTTTCGGCATATCTCCTCGATCATCGAACGCGTTCGCGATCGATCGATGTCATGTTTACGCTCATTATTCTCGCATTCGAACGTTATCGATGGCGTTTTATATTATAATACGATCCCACCGACTTTTTATTCCGGATCGCGGGGCTTCTCCATATACAGGTGCTTCCGACAACGAGATGAAATTTTTATTCAACGTGCAAATACGATTAGACGATTTGTTTTCCGCGAGCGTCTTCTCCGGACGCGTGGACGTCGTTGACGGGAAGAAAAGTTGGACGCTGGTACAAACGAGTTGTCTGCAACCGGTCCCGATCCTCCCCGCAACGACCGCGACGACGACCTCTTCTGCTCGTGCGCGTACACGTCGAAAATACCGTTGCCGTCGTCGTGATTTCTCGTTATTCACCTATGTTTGTCGCAGATATGCCAAAGATCTTTTCCCGCAACGTCGACGCACCCCCGCTTTCCGTGCTTACGGAAATGTGCGTGAGGTCAGGGTGGCATGATTACGACTATCAGACTCGCAGTGCGCCGCCGCCGGCGTTGACCGCATCGTCATCGTCACTGTCGCCGCTACTGCTGCTGTTGCCGTCGCCGACGCCGAAGCCGAAGCCGAAGCCGACGCCGACGCCGACGCCGACGCCGACGCCGACGCCGACGCGGTCGTCATCGTCGTCTCGCCGCGACGTCGCGTGGCCTAGCATTGTCTCGGTTGGCGGTAACACCCCTAGTTACTTGCGTAACGATGATTGCGGCAGTTGGACGAGTAGAATTGGCCATTTATAGTCGGCCAATAGTCCGCTCTAGCTTTTTTCCTCTTTTTACTGACGAGAAACAAACATTTTCTAGGAAAGCTCACTTTTATATTTGACAGTAAGACAACTCGCTGCATTTTCCATTATATCGACCACCGGTCAACCACGCTTTTTATTTTGACTTACATTTTCTCTCCTTTATCTATAAACTGTAGATGTAATCGATTTTTCGTTTTTCGAAATTCTAATAATTTATTGTCGAAAATTGGAAAAAATTACTCGAATCGTGAAATTTCCTTTTTCTTCTTCTTCTTCTTCCATATTATGGGTTTATTAACTCATTCCTTTCAAAATATGACTATTGTTTTTTTTAGCAGTCGGGGCTTTTTCTCCCCATTGGAAAATTATCACAAATGATCCGTTCTCTATCTGTTCTTCTTCATCCTCGAAACTATGCCAATTTCATTTTTCTCTGCGTATATTCACCCATTCATTCATCTCTTTTGAATATTACATTTGCGAATATCCTTGCTATGTCTTTTATATTGATATTTTCCTGATAATTTTTCTCAAAATTTCCATTTTAATTATCCTTAATAATTGTTTTGTTCGCATCAATCAAGAAGTAGATTTTTAAAAAAAGATAAAATACGATAATGTATATAAAAATTGAAAATAAGTCGATAAAGATTATATTGTTATTTATCTATTATACAATATTATAATGATTTATTGTATAACAGATAAATGAAAGCTTTCTCCTGCACAATTTGCTTATACATTGCATCATTTATTTTTTATTTAAGATAGATAAGAAAATATGTATCTATGTACATGTATGCATTAAATAATATACGCTATTAAAATTAAACAAACAAAAATACATGTTTTATATCGTGTAAAGCATTTACGCGTATATTCTCAGGGCGAAAAGCGAAGCGATTAAATGTATTTGTTCTTTATAGCTGAACTAAGCGGAACTAGCTGCACTAGTTCAGAGTTTATCTTTCTATTGATAGCAATCGCAAACGTTCATATATTGTTGCGTATATCATTTATGTATAAATGAGAAATATTAAAATCCGAGAGATGCTGATTGCAAATTTGTCATTGTAAATATATCATCTTGAAGAGAGCGCGCTTTTTCAATCGCTTTTTTCATACTTGTTTAATATACAAAGGTGTGGCAAGTGTCGAATCGGTAACCAACGGTTATCGTCATCACGAGGAAAAAGATAAAATCGCAGAAAAACATTATATATATATAATGTTTTTCTACCATTTTATTTTTTTCCTCTCGACGATAATAATCATGATATATATATTAATTGATAGAATGCAGAATCACACGAAAATAAAGCGCTGATGCGTTCAAGTCTTTCTCCGAATTGCAATTGATGCGAGCAAGACACTCAGTTACTTAAAATTTCTGCGGGAGATATTAACTTTGATTGATGAGAAAGAAAAAGTGAAACAGTTTTAGATTTTAGTGATCATTAGCGAAGTTTCAACCAGAAAAAAAGAGTGATTTTTTATTCGATCGCAATCGGTTTAAACAGCTAGGATTATGCGTGTTCTGCGATACATTCGTTTACCACGACAGTGCGTGACCAAAAGATAGCTGGTGTGTGCACGCATTAGGTTTCAACCGGTAATAGAATTACTTTCTTTTCCCGAGGGAATTGATTTCTGTGCTCAGTACGCCGTACGATGTCTCTTGACAGACAACCTCGCCAGAAACGTTTGCCATTGTAGGTGGATTTAACATTATATATCCTATTTCGGATTATTATCGTGTCCGGGATTGTTTAACGATTATGTGTCACAGAGTTTCAGTTATCATTAGTCTATTCTACAAAATAATCGATAATCAAAACATATCCATTTCGGATTATTATCGTGTCCGGGATTGTTTAACGATTATGTGTCACAGAGTTTCAGTTATCATTAGTCTATTCTACAAAATAATCGATAATCAATGGTATAACTGCTCACAATTTTTCGCATTTGCAAATATCAACTTATCACAATGTGTCGTTATACTCTAAATCGATTAAAGTGTAATTTATTTACCGTGTAATTTTCCGTGCTTTTAAACGTATAAATATGAACAAAAACGTGCATGTTTTAGTCATAAAGTATGAAGAAAATTCAAAATGAAAAATGATAAATTTTTTAATTAAATATCTACAAGATATGAAATATAAAATTAATTGAGATTTTTAACAATTATGTTTGCTTCTCTTAGCTTTATATGTACAAACAAGTTTTGATTACAATGTTTTAATAATTTGATAATTTCATGTTATCTCGTGAACCCAGGAGATTTTAGTTTATCAATAAATATTTTTAGTAGCTATACAGCTATTATATGCTCGACCCATGGCTGATTTATAAGCTGGCGATATCGAGATATATTCTCTTAGAGAGCAAACAACTTTACGCGTGTGTAAAAGCAAAAGAATGTTATTTCCGAAAAGAATGATATAAATTCTTAGCTCCCTCGCAATATTAAAGTTTAATAATTTATCAAGGCAACATAGTCACGATCCTGTTACAGAGAAAGTGCCCACAGCATGGATCTTCTAAATCTAAATTTTCGCTCTCTCGAATTGGAGGATGTGAAATTGTCGAAGGAAGACTTGCTACAGGTCGAGCGCGACAATTTTGTAGAGAGAAAAGACTGCATCGAAGAACAAAGAGGTAAGCCAAAGTCAGGCAAGGAAAAATCGCACGACGGACTTCGAACGATCCACTTACATGAGGTCTCTTGGCACGATACACTTGACAATTGCTGGTTGGTGATCCACGATTATGTATACGATTGCACCGACTTTCTAAAGAATCATCCGGGCGGCCAAGATGTTCTCTTGGAATATGCTGGACGAGACGCGACTTTGGCATTTATCGGCACCGGACATTCCACCGTCGCTAGAACAATCTTAGACCGGTATAAAATTGGTGAACTTCCACCGGAGGAGAGGATCTTTCGCGTTCCCAACGGCGTCAAAATCTCGGGATTTTGATCTACATACTTAAGATTATTGAATCGTATCATCGTTGTCACGGCCATTTTTACGCATTCAAGTAAATACTATAATGTTTAGACATTTTACTTTGGCAACGAAAACAGGCATAACTAACATTTTCCAAAATTGAACTCACTCGAAGAAAAGTAAAACAACAGTGGAACAACATCAGAATACAGAGTATTTTATATTGAATATATTATATATTTTTTGATCCTCTAACACACTTCTAATACACGACGTACAATGTGAGATGATTGGCGATGTAGCTCGATTTATTATACGCTATCGATAAATCGATAAACTTATCGTTTCCGCAAATCAAAAGACGAGAATGTTTTAGTAATTTAATTAACATTATTCAATTTCTGCATTAATTTTAGATTTATCTGGAATTAAATACACAATATACACACGTAGCAATACTCTTTGTCACACATATTTACATTTCATTAATTATAAAAACATACATACATTATAAAATATAAATGTTTTGCAATTTGAAAAGAGAAAAAAAAAACAGATGTATAGCACTTGATGTGATTGATATTATTATATCCTGTGGCAAGGGGATGATTTTTTCACGTCTTAAAGTCTCAGCGATAGAAAATTATTACAAAATGAATAGAAAAATTTTGATTTAAGAAATATATTGAATTGATTCTATGTTTATGCGTATTGAGTTTATGAATTAAGATACGCGCAAATTATGTAATACATTTATGTATACATTTACCGAGTTTCATACATATATACTGTATTGTATTTTTTTTTCTCTTTATTCGATTGTTAGAGACTAAGGTAACAAGTAAGAGAAAGTAACAATGGACATGCATGCATATTTGTTCCATATTTGATTAAAATTATAATTTTCTCATTTTATTATGTGTGTGCGCGTGTATTTAAGATTGTGGCTATACTATAATATGAGATTTTCTCTTTTGTGCGTGCTCTAAAGCGCATACATACATACGTCGTGCTACACTATACAACATGTTATATTAACATCAATTTTACATACTACTTTCTGCTTTGTATGTTGTTAGGACCACAAGTATGCCTACACAGCATTCGTTTATGTTTATAAATTTTCTGTGCTAAGACGACAGTAGAGAGTATAATTTGCGTAAGATAAAAATAACTCTCTCTCCTTTAACGATTTCCTCGTAATTACCGGGCGTTGTAATTACAAGTTGCGTAACGCAAAAAATATAGCTAGAATGATCTCTATGTATTGGATAACAACAACTAAAAAAAAAAACCAAAATAAAAGAACAATTATTTATCGCGATGTTTATCGATATAGTGTTTTTTTAATTGTTGCGTTTCGTTGCATCCATGAAAAGAAGATTGATGCATTATTCATGATTGAATTCTTCCGCAAGTATTTTCTTCGTATTGCAGGATAGATTCGACTTGCAAGACTCGATTATTAATTGATGATGTATCAATTTGCTCACAATATCTATTTTTTTTTGCCGAGGCAAAAATTGTCGTACTTTTACATTAAGCTGCAAAGAGCAAGTCCTTGGGCAGAATCAAAGGCCGACTGCAATACTGTAGTTTCCATACAAAACGCTGCGTCTTCATACATTGCTGCTATTCGTTGCTGTTGCGCTCGATTTTCGCTCTGCGATCTGCAAGCACGTTTCAATTTTTCCAATTGGGAAACTCTCTAATAATAACAAAAGATGGATTTTTGGATGGAGATGAATGAAATTTTAATGAAAATTTTAATAAATTCTCTTTTACAGTTATGTTTTACATTAAATCATGGCAAGACCACACACGTAAAAATGCTGTTGCTTCAATTAAAGTCTACGTCACGGGCTGCCACAGACATACATAATTCATTCAATGATATTTTTATTAGACCAAATATCTGGATTATTAAAACAACTATCCAGATATTTAGTCTGATAAAAATATCATTGAATGAATTATGTATGTCTGTGGCAGCCCGTGACGTAGACTTTAATTGAAGCAACAGCATTTTTTTTTCCGTGCACATACTTTACAGAGGAAAATAAAAAATAATTCTATTACTTTTTACACCTACATCTCAGATAAATAAATTAACCCGAGTCAAAATAATTCTCGATAGTTTGTGTGTGTGTGTTTCTGTGTGTAAATATACCATATATACAGTCATTCGAAAAACTTGGTAAATTATTCGGGACGAGCGATTCCAACCCCGAGATACATACAGTCGTGGCTGAAGACTTTACACATTTTTCCAACTACCTACTCACCTGGGAGGCATTGCTCGTGCCCGGTGATGCGCTCTGATCTGCTGTTCTCTCAAGGCGGAGCAGACAGTGTTTCTAGACTGTTGCCGCTGCTGCTGCTGTTGTCGATGTTGATAGTGCGAGTCAAGTCTCTGTGCTAGATACTCGCGAAGCTCGGGCTGGTTAGGCAAGAGATTATGATGCTGGATACTCGAAGTCGGATTAGACGACGATGTCGACGACGATGTTGTCGAGTCTGACCATGGTGGTGGAGGAGTATGCGAGCGTGGCATCATCGCATATTTATGATGCAAATATTCCTCGTATGTCGGTGGCAGACCGGTCTGCAAAACGAAAATATGTTTTGTTATATTACACATATTATTTTAATACTCGGACATTACTTTCAAGTTTATTGCTTTGTTGCTTTAACGAGCAATTGGGATAGTAACGTTCGTCTCTTGTTTAATAGAGTTAATCGAGAGATTAATTTTTGATTAATTAATAAAGCTTTTAAAATTTCCCGTTACTTCCGAGACTGCATTGGAATCACGTTACTCTAGCCGCAACATCCTCATATTCTAGTTGCTTAACATTATGTTTGCATGGCTGCGGTTTTAATATCTGATCTTCGTGTCGTGTCATGTTTCAAAGATATCAAATGTAGCTGCGATTCTTTTTTCAGATTATAGGAAACAATCGATAAATGGAATATTTGACGTTAATAATCCATGAGCGATAAAATAATCAAAAATAATAACAATTAATGTAATTATGACTAGCATATTTATCGTTGCTAATTATTAAAAAATGAAACTCTTGGCACTTGTTCCTGAAGTCGCATTAATTCATGGACACAAGTTTTAATAATCAAGTTAGAAGCCTAAATCAGCCCAACTTTACATTTCTCAATGTCCATTATGTTACGCTGGAAATTATAATAAAGCCGCCAATATTTTGTTTTTAATGTTCTTTTTGTATCAACTACCGTAATGGCGTAGCGGTTATTATCCGCGGTCATACATTATGAACCTATGCAATGTGACATGCGGATCGCATATAAATTATTATTAACATATTGTGTGAAAATCTACAAAGCGCAAAGCGTTAGTGAAAGTTGCGTAGCAGTATCGTTCTGTAAATTCCAAAAAGAAAAAGCGATGATAAATATATGTTCAGCATTGATTTTTCGGCGGTCTTCTGGCAAGTGTAAACACGGGGAATAACACGATTACATAGTTACGTAGAAGAATTTATGTTCCATACGGCGCCGTCGGTCTAGAATACTGTCATTTAAATTGCGCAGAAAGCATAAAGAAATTTACACAGAGAACTTAATCAATCATTGACCTAAAATATTATATTGTCGTGTTTATTATTCCTATGCATGTGAGATTGATCGATTTCTTTGTGCATATGTTTTATGCGACTATACAAATCCACTTGGATAAGCTTTTAGATTGCTAGAAAAATGCTATCAAGTTCATAGAGCGCAACATTAACAGCATTTTTATTATTTCTTTTGGATTGGTGTAAAAGCAGTATACAGTATACAGAAATACAAGACAATAAATTACAGCAAATCTCACCTGCCACGCTTTTGCAATCGTGGCATCATATGTCGGTGGTGGTGATGTCATTGATGGAATAGCGGTATACAAAGCTTGTGATCTGCTTTGCATATTCGACCGACTAGTTCTGATTTCTTCGGCATTCGCATTCGCCGTGTTTGATACGCTGGCGTATAATTCTTCGGGTATGGCGGTGTTTTCTCGATTTTCATCACTGGCGATACTCGAGCCTGAATCTATAAAACATTATCGAAAGTGCATACAGTTTTTTTCCTTCCTTTTTATCCTTTGACTAATTTTCATTTTATGTAAACATGTACATATATATATATACATAAGTATATATGGTATATTTTATATTTTGAATTAATTACTTTAAAAAAAGATTGAAGTTTTTTCAATCGTTTTTTTTTTTTTTTTTTTTAACGTACGACCAAAAGATAAACGTGAGGTGCAAAAAAAAGCCTAGCAAAATTATAATATAAAGCTTGTGCATAATATAGATTAACTGACCGATATAATGCGATTCAGCGCTATCAGCGCTTCTAGTCCTTCGCGAATGATCGAATCGCTTCTTATGCTTGCTGCTCTTCATTGTAGGTTTTGCGGATTCTGTTGCCGAACTGCTGCTTCCGGTCTCGCTCGACGTCTTTAATTCTCGCCTGTCATCTTGTTGCTTCCGCGAGCTCTTATCTTGTTTATGGCCCTTTGATTTGGGCAAGAAGATAGACAGTTTTTCCAAAACGATCGAGCTGTTTCGCGACTTTGGCAGGTCCACGACAACACCGCAGGCACACACCGGCAAGTTCTCGTTAGGCATCCTGCCTTAAAGAATTTGTCTTTGCCGATGGATTAATAAAGATCCTATGAATCAAAAATAATTAGGTAGATTACATTTTGTCATTGGTTCTTTGAAAAAATGTTTTACACGATTCTATTAAAATTAGAAAGCAGACGTAATGTGTCGTAGAAAAAAATATTAAAATAAAATATTTACTAAAATATTAAAACTAAGAGTATCTTGTAAAGTATGATTTCACACATTAATACTTTAATCAGCAGAATATATATATACATATACATATACATAAAATGGTGTATCCTTTTGGGATTTACTCTCTTCTGATTTGACCCAGATTACCCATGATTGATCACCGAAGTCGATATTTAGCGAGCCTTAATTCGCTCAGCAAAAACGGCAACGGAGCTATCGAAACTCATCAAAGTTAAGCACTGCTAGAATGCCCTCCTCCTCGGTAAAGCTAATTCGAAACTGCTACGCCACACCATGAGCGAAATTGCATTCCAAGTTTTACACTCGCTTATTTTTATCCTGAGTCTCTATGCATTTTGTACTATAAAAATCGCGTTAGTAATCACAGATTAGAAAATCATATTTTCTAATTTGCAATACCTACTCATAATTTCCAAATTTTTAATCGTGATATAATTAAAAAATATGAGATATAAATCCCAAATATTATTTAACGCTCTTATTATTGCAAATATTATTAAATGCATTTATATACTTTATATACACACACACATATATATATATATATATATATATATATGTGTGTATTTAATTTGTTTAAAAATTCATAAAAGCAAGAATTAAAAAAAAACCAAGTTATATATATACATCCATTTTTCTTCTTGGAGATTTATCAGAAAAACAAGAATTAAATTAAGATTGAAGAGAAATAGATTGTTTGTGCGCAAAAAGAGCTAAGTGAAAGTTTTACATTTTTAAGTATATAATCACAATAATGGAAAAGATACTATTTATTGGGGATATCGCATTTCTACTGATTGTGAGACAAAAATAAAGAAGAAAAAAAGGATAATGCGAAAAAAATAAAAAATGAAAAAGGCGTAAGGTAAATGTCCCAGTGATCGGACGTTTAAGCGTAGGTCGTCACGAATAATACAATTTATAATATTAGAAAGATTTTTAAAATAAATATTTGCATTCAATCGAAAGTTTAACATTCCCTTAAGCTGGGAAAAATTATTTGAACCCACATAAGATAAATGTCCCAGTGGCCGGACGTTTAAGCGTAGGTCGTCACAAATAATACAATTTATAATATTAGAAAGATTTTTAAAATAAATATTTGCATTCAATCGAAAGTTTAATTGACGAAAAATATTGATATAAATAGATATTTAATGACAAAATAAAACTCTAATGTAAATTGGTTTTTATACTTGATGATATTTTATTTTTGTCAAAAATTATAAAAATAATTTGTTGCATAACCTGGAAACATAAAACAGAGCATTTAATTTACAAGCTAAATTTCTTAACAACAGTGAACATGCAGATAACAGACCGAATAATAATACATAATAATATAATTAGTTAAATAAAGTTTAATTTTTCTTTGACACTTTTTTAATGACTTTTTCTGTTCACGTAAAATATTTTTTCTTCTATTTGTATCATTTTCAACTTTCTCTGTTTTCTTTTCTTCAATTTCTTTAATCTTTTACAGTCTTTTTTGTTCTCTCTTTTTCTTTTTTTATTACAATATTATTTGCACATACGTCCGGCGAGTGGGACCACTGGTATTTTTAATGTACCAGTCTCCGAACGATCAAAAATATTGTTTTAATTGTGATTTTTATGATGAATTTCGTCAAAGAGAGTTTCTAATTAATTTTTGAAATTAGATATTCAATTATTTATTCACGAATATAATTAAATATCCAATTTTCATACTATTTAATTAGATGCTTACGCTTGACGAATTTGTTAACGATCGGCCATCATTTTGCCTACCCTTAGACATATGCTTATTTAATCAATTTTTTTTTAATACAAAAATTTTAAATTAAGTTTATTTTTTTTTCCCAATTAATTGTCAAATGTTGGAGTTTTTTTTACAATAATTATTATTTTCATTCATAATTGTTCAAATAAATGGTAAATATTTTTTTTCACTGTGGTCCGGCCACTGGAATATTTACCTTAAATAAAATTTCGCGGGCGTATTCCGTGCGTGTATGAATTTTGATCCGTTGCTCAAGAATCGGGCACATTCCAGGATCAGTTTCTGTTTAAGGATTATCAGGCTTGTCGTCCCGGAGCTTTAGTTTGCGATCTTAGGGATTACGGTTGACGACACCTCAATTCCGGACATTGTACCGATATCCAATAAACGAAGATCATGAACGAAAAACACGTTATTTATGAAAGATCAAGATAGGGTTTGCCAAAAAACAAAGACCGTTATTATAAAACCGTAGTTATAAAAAAATGAGCGCAACTTAATTTTTTTTTTACGTTACATTTTCAGTCTTGATTATTAATATGTAACTATTAATATGTGTAATGTTTTTATCGTGATTTTTTCTTAGATAACAATTTGCGATGAGTATTCATATGAAACCTTTTAAAGATGCAGTTTTTTTATTTATCTAGGCTTCACTACATAGCGATTCGAGAACATAGAATTGCCTAGCACGAGTGAGAAAAATCTTCGAAATAAGTAACATCGTAAAATTAAAGCTATCGGTTCCCGATGGAAACGATAGCAACGATAACAACGACGACGACGAGGACGACGACAATAACAACGACGATAGAATGTTGCGGTGAAAATGGAGCAACAGAGGAGGATAGGCTCCAGGAATAGAGAAGGGCAAGTAGTTGGAAACCAGAAATTGGGTCTACTGCCAGCGAACTGGATTGTGGTAGGTGGGAGAAGGTAGTGTAGGAGGAGTATATAAGAAGCTTGAAAACCAGGTCACCATCGTAGGTCACTGAGCTCTCTCTTCACTGACAAATAAATCCAGGATAGTCCGTCTACAAATTAATTATAAATGTTATAATTTAACGCCTGATCCGTGTTTATATTGTTACAGTAAGCAGCTTCTCAGACAAACGTCGCCATTAAGCTTTCCATCAAGCATATAGATAAATATTTTATAGATAAGAAGTTGATAAATTATTTCGACTATTAAATTTTTGACACATACATATGTAAGGACTTGAATGCATTTGGATGAATATGTTGATGTACACTATTTTATATTTTATTGTCAAATTCTTCTACGCAATTTAATAATTTTGAGCAACGAAAGATACATTTAGAAACTTGATTGAACTCATTCGCAATTGATTGCGATTGATAGAGATGACGTAACCTTCTTTTATCTTCTTTCATTTTTGTTCAAAACATTATTTCATCATATCTTCTGTGTGAGAGCAGGCTATCAATATCGTGTTATCAGTGAAAAGACAAGTTTTAATTATTCAAAGGAACAAGCTACTGGCAAAAATGTGCGTATGAATTATTGTGGTCTAAGAAGTAGATTTATTGTATAGTTTATTTTGTCTGTCATACCCATATCGCCGATAACGACAACAAATTCATCAAATGCAACGCCTGCAAGTGATATCGACAATAGTGGAAAAAACCAGATTTGCGCTATTGTGGTAATAACCACTAGCTATATCGATAACGGAATATGTGTGGCTCTCATCTTAGTGCTGTTTCAAGAAATGATATTTTTAATAATTTAACAACATTACCGCATAAACCGATGGCGCTTATAATTTCACTGGAAGTAAATATCCGTGAGAAAAGAACTTTTGTCAGTTTAATCATTTTATTTCCATTTTTATTAAGCTTTTTTATCGCATGTGTAATAAAATAACACCGGCGAGTAGTAATAGTCTGCCATGAGCGGACAGGGGAAAAAGATAAATCGAAATTGGTCGGAAATGGTTAGCTTCGTGATCGATGCTAACATGGTCAAAGTTTCCGTGACAACATCGATATTATAGTCGATGGATAATGAGATAAACGTTTGTATGAAATCGATTTTTCAATTGTATCAATTCTTAGTACTTGTGTGATAGAATGTAACCCAGATTCTTGCGTTGAATTTTTTTTTATTTAACATAAATTTAATTAAAATTGCGAATAGAGTCAGCGCGGGAGTTAGTGCGCATACATTATTTAGATTTATTCAACGATAGCAACGAGTACCGATTTGTGATATTACGAACGTTTCGATCCTTTTTAAGACCTTCTTCAGCGTGGTTAATAAAATTACTGAAAAAATTATAAATTATAATAAATAGACGCAAACGTGATATATAACGCAACGGATAAAAGCGCGATAGTCATAATCGGAGGAAACATATAAATCAATTTCATCAACAAATAAAACCTAGTTATTCGGAAGGTGCTAACGTCGATTAGACATGGTCTTAATATAGATGTTCCAAGAGTCATATTCTCGAAGTAATTGACCATCCACTCTCATCTCTGGTTGACCAGCCAGAAAGTTCGTGTGAATCTATCCAGCTATAGATAGCGTATCGGAAAGACGGAACCTTATATCACAAAATTGTGACATCCCTAAGGCGAAATTTTTATTAGCAATTAGATTTGTCCTAGATTCCACGTTTTTTATTTTCAATGGGGTTATTTATAAACAAACTTTCGGAATACCGATGGGCTCACCATTATCGCCCATAATTGCGGACATAGTGATACAGGATTTAGAGAAAAAAGCACTATCAATTTTAACTTTCACACCTAAATTTTATTTTAGATAATGTAGATGACGTCGCGCTTGCAGTCCCATCAGATGTAATTGGCCATACATTAAACACGTTTAATTCATTCCACCAGAGATTACAGTTCACAATAGAAATCGACTCGAACAATAGGTTAAACTTTTTAGATATCACAATGGTAATAAAAAATAATCGCATTATTTATGATTGGTATCATAAAGAGACTTTTTCCGGCAGATATCTCAATTTCCTTTCGCAACACCCTTTATGCCAGAAAAAAGGCACAGTCATCGGTCCCTTAGATAGAGTATTTTTACTATAGAATCCTGTGTTTCATAAGAAGAATATCAACTTTGTTATACAGGTTTTATTGAATAATTCCTATCCGTTGTCTTTTATCTTCCATACTATCCACCATCGACTTAAAACACTTTTAAATTATTCAACCTATGACAGAAAATAAAAAACGTGGAATCTAGGACAAATCTAATTGCTAATAAAAATTCCGCCTTAGGGATGTCACAATTTTGTGATATAAGGTTCCATCTTTCCGATACGCTATCTATAGCCGGATAGACTCACACGAACTTTCTGGCTGGTCAGCCAGAGATGAGAGTAGATGGTCAATTACTTCGAGAATATGACTCTTGGAACATCTATATCAAGACCATGCCTAATCGACCTTGGCACCTTCCAAATAACTAGGTTTTATTTGTTGATGAAATCGATTTATATGTTTCCTCCGATTATGACTATCGCGCTTTTATGCGTTGCGTTATATATCACGTTTGCGTCTATTTATTATAATTTATAATTTTTTCAATAATTTTATTAACCACGCTGAAGAAGGTCCTAAAAAGGATCGAAACGTTCGTAATATTACAAATCGATACTCGTTGTTATCGTTGAATAAATCTAAATAATGTATACGCACTAACTCCCGCGCTGACTCTATTCGCTATTTTAATTAAATTTATGTTATTGACTATAAGAATCTGTACTTCTTAGTTTATTATTTTTTTATTTACTTTTAACTAATTTTAATAAACCAATATTATCGTTACTAAATATCTGATAAAGTCCGATTTTTTCATTGATCAAAATACTCGCAGAAAACTTTCTCGAAAAAGTATATACGTTTTGCTCGTTGGTTTGATATGTACGTTTTGTGTCAGATGAAGATATGTCGCTGTATTTGCGTGTCTCCATTCACACGTCTAGCAGCCGACATTTAAATCGAGCCTATCTCCTGCAAAACTTTTGCCGACACTTTGGTAAAAGCCCTTCAAGACTTTTAAAATAGAGCGAATAATGTGTGTGGGAATAATACGGGGAAAAAGAAAAGTGGAATAAATTTTTTATTTATGCAGCTTTCTTTCTTCATACATTCCTTCAAATGTTTTCCGCATCGTTTTCTCCTTTGTCATTCTATCGAATTGCTTTATAATGATTTTCACAATGCGCAGGCGAGTGAAATATAAAGACATCGATAGATGTAACAAAGGAATTTTTCTCAGAACTATATAAAGTTATGATTAGTTAGTAGGTAGTGCTAACATGGAGGAAAGAAATCTTTTTTATCTTTAAAAACAAATTGAAAGAATAAGAATATAGAATAAAATTCTTCTATATAAAAGAGATATTATTTGATATATTTTAAATCGAGACTGGGGAACGTCATATATAATTCCTAGCTCATGAAATCTTTTATATCATGAGGAATTAATTTGCATGACGGTTATGAAGATGGGGATAAAAAAAAGAAAATGCATCTCGATGCATTCCATCGCGAACAACGGCGGTAGTTCCAAGGGTCGCGTTGTAAAATCCCGGATGAGATTGAAATTTACGGCTGAAATTTTCCGAGTGTATTGCTGGATTTCAGTATCAAATTTCACAAACTTGTAATGAAAGGCCGCTGTGGACATATAACTACTCAAACAAAACGAATAAAATCGAAAAAAACTGTCGCTTCCTTTAGCTATATCCCATTGCGCGAGGAATCAGCATGATTAATTACGAGGTTGCTTTTTGCGATTCACATTTGGGATTAAATTGATTCGAGTATCTTTTTTTTCCGCTTTTGGCAGGACCGCATGTTCTTACAAGAGTATCTTATAAAACATAGTGCATTTTTTGACTGTCACGTGCCTCATTGCCTCATTATTGATGATGAATACAACAAATATAAAAAAAAAAAACGTATAATACACTGTAGAATTGTAATTGCTATTGAGATATCGACATTATGCTGGCGATTAATTATAAGATTTTCTCGTTGATTTTTCCAAGAGGAATATATTTCTTTTATCACGTTTTAAAATTTTATAATATTGCATACGGGAGAGATGATTAATGCCGTATATTTGTAAGTTTAATTTTACAGTTTAATTACAGCTCTAATTATGTTCGTTATATCAGTAATTATTCAGCAGCTCAAAATATTACACTTGGAAATAACGACACGCAGAGGAAGGTTTTGCGCATAATATAATATAAAATATAATAAATCATCGATAATGTACTTTAATAAACCTTTGTATATTACATTCCGCCGCAAGAATCTTTTTACTCTCTCATATCCATTTATTATTTGTACATTTTTCTTAAATACGATTAATTCGTTATATGCGCAAATAAGCGATCGAAATACGACTGTATTAGCCACTAATACTTTTATTCAATACGAATGAACTGGCACGTATTTACATAAAATAAAAGACACCTTTTTTTTTTAAAGTTTTGTGAAAGGTTTTATTTTTTGTTTTGTCATGTTCAAGAGAAAAAAATTCACTATTTTTTTAATAAAAACCTATTCTAAATTTTCTCTTAGAATACATTTTGACGTAAAGCGCGGTAAAAATGTAATGATAAAATTGTTTTTAATATTTACCCAAGTTTTGTATGTTCTTAAAAATTTTCATATTTTCATACAATTTTGAGTCCATCTAAAAAAATCGAATTCTAATAAAGATATTGAGAAACATAGCGCATACGGAATGTATGTATATTGCCTAGAAGAATGTAACCGCGTGTTCGGCGAGGAGTGTTCGCGTTCGTGAATGAAGTGCGGACCTGTATCAGTCTTTAATATTACTAGGATGAAATATATGTGTGTGTGTGTGTGTGTGTGTGTGTAAATATTATTTGAAATATTTATTCTCACAGAAAATTTAACCATTTATTAAATTTCCAATGATTTAAAAATCCACATATCAAATATCTTTCTGTGCCGTCGTGTATCATCATGTATTTGTGATACGAAGTTATTATATTTACCTTGTGATGAACGTAGACTTTTATGAGAAGAAACATCGAAGGTTCGCTGCACTTTGCAAGGTTTTTCCTTACCTAATATATGCACCTCACATATTTCTCGAGCGAGAATAGCAATAAAGCGAAGCAAGCAATAAAGATAAATAGAAGCAGACAGACACAAAGAGAAAGAATAAAAAAGAGAAAGCAAAGAGAGAGAAAAAAAAAAGATAATTGAACCGAGACTTGAGAGAAAAAAAAGAATAAATGATTTCTCGAAATCGTGCACGCGAGAAACTTTTGCAAGCTTATGACGACACGTAAACCACACGGCCAAGTGGCGCAACTGAACTCAGCTGAACTGAGTCAGAGATTAAATTACCGAAGAGAGAAGACGGCGGGGGTGGCAGCAGCGGATGGTAGCAACGGTGGTGGCGGTGGTGGTGGTGGTGGTGGCGGAACAGGGAGCGAGGATCGCGTCGTCTCCCTGGCATCGATTTACTGGCAGTGGCGCGCGCTTCACAATTCGTTTGCGAACTGTCGCAAGAGAATTTTGTATTTTAGTTTTTTAATTCAATAGTTTCAAAACATTAAATAATCAATTTACTCTCGGTATTATATGTATAACCAGATGAATGAATAAGTGATGAGACGATCACAAAAGAGACAGTCTTTATAGCATTGCTATGAAATATTAATGTTTTATATCGACAATATGATGCCTTTTTTATCTTGATTTCCAAAATATATATTTAATAATTAACATAATTGAGAAGATAATTAAAAATATTAAATTTTTAACGGACTATACATTAAAAGAGAAAAAAGATAAATGAGGAAAATTATATTCTTTAAGAAACCTATTATAAAATTATTCACGATTGAAAAGGCGAATTTTTAGCTAGCGTGTTTTTTTAATCACGAGAATTCTGTCTGTGTCTTTAAATGATCTATTATCTTTTCCGGTATTGATATGTTATCTAACGAAACAATAGCTCGGAATCGACATTAGATAGTCCTAGAATAATCGATTCTAAGATATTTAAACGTCGCAAATGTCACCCAAATGACACAGTTAATCTGTTATTTGCACAGTTATTGCTCATTAGTGAAACAATCTCATGTCTTTATCGCTGCCATTACCGCGGCGGAATATACGTCCAAGCGCGGTAGTAAATTTTTAATTAAAATATCCCGGATCATCAACGATCCTCCGCAATCCTGGGCGGAGAAATATAGGGTCTCAGAATGACAGATCATAGAGTCCACTTGACAAGTCTCAAGTTTGATTACATGATGAAAGGCTAAATTTTGCGAGAGGTTTCAATGATGTATTGTACCAATAGGGTGACTGATAAAAGAACGATGAAAATGAGGGATCGGCGACAGCGGAGTCAAAATAAATCGCGGCTAATGATTTTCTTATCCATCTGTTCCCTACAAGCAATATTTTATCATATTCGCGAAAAGACGAAGGAAAAAGTTCTGTGTCCACGACGCGCATTTTTCTGCTATATATAGTTACACATTCGAGAGGAGACTTAGAACTTTACCTTCTTTGTTCTAGTCAAGGATAACGAAAAGAATTTTATAAGAAGCATCGCTCGATTGCGGTAAAACGACTGTTTTTATAATAATTTCAATGGAGAAATAGATATAAGGAGGCCATTACATTTATGAAATGCAGTCAAATGAATTATTCAATTAATTTTGTTGATATTAAAAATAATAGCCTTTCTCTGATAAATTAAGTTTCGTAAATAAAAAAAATAAGAGGGAAAGGGAGAGAAAGATGATAAAATTATATATTTTTAATCCAACACAAGTAGATTTCATTCCAATAAAATTGTAATTTAAAATCTATGTTACCCGGTGTTACAAAGGTGGTGTTACACTCCCTTTTAAGCTTCACTTAACATAAAAAAATTACAAAAATGTAATAAATGATATGGTATTTTTTAATATTTTTTGCTAAAAAAACATTATCTCTGAAATGATCGTAAGAGCTATAACTATAGAAAAAATTGAAATTTTTGAAAATAACTTGCTTATTTGATTATTATTTAATATTACTAAACATGTTTATTGTACGTAGATCTTTTGAGCGATTAATGGCTTTTCGAAATTCGTCGAAAATTTCATTCAGACTAACAATAGTAGAATATATTTCCTCTAGCCATCCCTTCTGGGGGTGGTGGACCGAGGTGGAAAGAGAGAACTGTACTTCGAAGCATCCCGGTTAGGGGCGCTACACCCTCGACAACATGGCTGTCGCGGCTTAACAAACCCCCGTGCGAGTCTTGACACATCCGGACATTCGTGTGTCGTGTGTTGCTCAGGGATTGCAGCCATTCGCGCGAACAAAAACATCACGTGAGTACAACAAACAACGGCGATAATCTCGCTCCAACATTCGCGGATACGAAAATTTGTGAAAGAAAACGCTACCGGAAAATATTCGAATGGAAACAGTGTTATCCGACAAGGTACGAGTACCTGCGTGCGCGTTGCATGGCGTGTATGTATATGTTTTCCTATACTTGTGTGTATACAATGTTGCGTCAATATATTTCGAAACGCGTATCTACATCGGCGATCAATAAAACGATGGTGGAGGGTGGAATATTTCGACACGAAGTGCTTGTATTCTTTATCCGATAAGGACATACATCTGCTCTCTCACCAATTGTGTGTTATCATTATGCATTTGCACTCTTATATTTGCATAACCGTATGCTTCCATCTCTCATATACATATATATATATATATATATATTGTTTTTTTTGCTCGTATCTCTTTGCCGGTGATATCCCACGAGATGTCGCATTGAAAGTGATAACGTCGCATTTAAAAAATAAAAAATAAAAAATGACGACATAATGAAAATTAAAAATCTTCAAATTTCATTATTTTTCCATCTCATATACATATATATCATATACATAAGTAACATAAAATGTACGCCAATTGAAAAGAATCGTTGAAGGTGTACGACAAGAAACAGATCCTATCTATTAATTAACCATTCAATATATATCATTCCATCAGCATAAAAAAAAAAAACAATTTATGTTGCCGATACATATGTTTGAGTGATACAATTTTCATAAATAGTGCCGTTTACAACTTTTTGTGACACGATGTCTGACTTTAAATAGGACTGATTCACTTACAAATATATTTTAGAAAACCATCTGTGCATTCTGATTTTTTTTGTCAACTGCACAGATGTAAAGACGGAATTTGAATGGACAATTTAATCGGAGCAAAATTATGTCGAATAATTATACAATTAGTCTAAAATTAAACCTACTTTTATTCAACGGCAGATTTTTTGATCAACTGTGGTGTGTATGTGTGTGTAAGCGCGCGCGCGCGCGCATAATATAAATTAATTTCTTTTGTATTTGATGCATTTTTATTTTAGAATTTTTTAACTTTTATGAGAGAGTTTAGATTTATACATGTGCTCTTATGTGTTAAAAAACCAGTCAGAATACAATATGCGTTAAAATTAAACAATAAAGATATTTTTCTCTGGCTTAATATAATAAAAATTTTTTAAATCGCTTAAAGATTAAAATATTTATTATATTGTTCTCGTTCTCTTATAGCGTTTTTTGTCATAATCAAATCTTGTTAACTCGGCATGCTGCGAATACGTATATTACCTGAATTCCTAAATTCCAATTCTGACTAATTGCGAATCTATTTTTTCTCATTGCTTTCTGTCATTAAGTCGATAGGAAATTGCAGAATGTCTGATTGTAGGATAGAATTAATTTCAAACTATGGGAAAAAAAGATGAAAAACGATCGAGATGATTTGTCTTTATTGAGACTCATCGATATATCTCTTGGTTCTATCTCGACATCATGATAAAGAGATTAAAACTATAATATCAATCAATACAAAAGGTTAAAACTTTAATCTCTTTTGTCTGCCCCGAGAGCTCGCAATATTTAATTCAAAATCTTCTCAATAACGGAAATTAATTAATTAATTATAGTCTTCTTTTAGCGAATTTAATTAAGTTAGATTAAAATATAGATTAAATATGCATATAAATACATATATTAGTATATATTTCTACTTTAATAAAATAATATAGTTATAATATTTGTATATGTGTGTGTGTGTGTGTGTGTGAAAAAACACCATTAATAATAATGTAGCAAATATGTTTTAATCCTCTTACATTTTATTGAAAACACATAATTATTAATAAAAATAAATATTATTTTTTCGCGCACCATATCAAATCGAAATATATAATAATATTGAGCGGCATAACGTGTCAGAATCAAATTTTTTGGGTTTGCCCTCGATTTCATTCGAACTTTTCCTCGGCAGGGACTTAAGGGCGGGATAAGCTTCGCGTCTAAAAGTCGGTCGCAAATGCGCCAAGTCGAGTGGCGTCGACCGTTGATATCTGCAAACTCGGTCAGTAGGTCAACAGCAGATGCATTCGGTTGCATATCTTGTCGTATAGATCAATATTCTCAATCTTTCCGTATCATTTCACTAAGCATCTGCTTTTAACAAATTTTTTTATGTGTATAAATTTTAGTAAATAGTACTTTCTTTCTTACTTAATTTCTTTGCCAAATTGGCTCCGACACAGAAGACACCAAACGCGGAGATGTGATAAAATTGAAAACTTTGATTATCAGAAGATAGATGAAAGAGTTTGAGAGAAACAAAAATTTCGCTATCTCTATTTTAAATTATTATCAATCTAAAGCTAATAAATTTTCTATTGCATCTTTATCTTGCGCCTTTGGTTTATATCATTTTTAGTTCTTTACTCTTTTATATATCTTTCATATGATTTTGTATTCATATATTGATCTCATCTTTTTTGTTTAAATTTTTTTTGTTTGTTACACACATATAAAAAAAAATTTACATACATATATTTGTAAAATTATTTTTGGTCAAAGTAAAAATTCTCTTCGAGTGATTTGTTTAGCAAATAAAAATATTATCTTTACTCTTTCTACAGACCACGAAGACGAAGAAATTTGTCAAACTGGCGCCTTTTAAGCTTCGTTTCTCAAAGATGCTGAAGTCGCGGAATTCCGACAATAGTCGCAGCAATAGTGTAGAATTTGAAGAACAGCAACAACAAATTAATCAATCATTGCCGTCGGGTACAAACGAGTTTATAGATGCACCTGAAGCGGAAACGGACAAGAATTGTTTGTCGATTAGAAAAGAACAGATGATACCCAACTCGCCTCCGCCTTCGTATGAACACGTCCTTGAAGAGGCAAGTGCGCTATATTTCAAATAAAAAATTTATCGATTAATCTTAGTCCAGATTAAATTGTTAAACAATATAAAAATAACATTTGGTTGGTACTTTTTTTACTGTCGAATGAATGTTGTACAGACCGTATTTAATTTCATGAATTGCACGTAGAAATACGATGAATTTTATATAAGAAGCAAACATCGAAGAATACAATATGCGCTTCAAGCCTTTAGGTCACTGATCCACGACAACTCATTGATAGAAAATGCGATACACGGATTAATATGCGATGCACATATAAACTGCAGAGATGCGTGCGATTGATAATTCACGCCATTCGTTATTTACACATCGCATTATGACAAACGGTCTCGTCGCACATTGTATAATATTACTATTGTTGCGATTGCTATACTACTGCTAAAAATTGCGCGTAATTAAAGTATTATAGACGCACAGTATCGCTCCATAATTTCTTATTAACGGAAATTTCGATGAAATTTCAGCAACTCAAAGATCGATATTGTTTTCTCTTACTCTGATTGATAAAGAAGTCTTTTGGAAATACATCTCAATTCTTTTCTCAATCACGAATATATTATAATTTAGACACGAATGGAATCGTCAGCCATTGCACTACGAGAGACAAAGGAGGAAGACGAGAAGAAACGGGCTCTCAGTAAAGAAAAGAGCATGGAGAACGCTGAGGACGGTGATGGGGATGATGATGACAATGGCGGTCCTGGAGGTGGGGACAAAAAAGCAGCCAAAACACCCAAGATACTTCACAAATCGAGCAAAGAATTCTACAAAGCAATGGCCAAACAGTGGGGCATAACTTGCAAAATGAGTGATCATTGTAGATGTCTAGATTGTCAGGTATATATTTGCAAGATATGTCTGTTTTACAATTTAAGATAGATTAAAGGAAAATATGTAAACATTGAAAATTTTGCTCTTGAATTAAATATTTGATTAAAAATCAAACTGATATTTCGATAGGATTAATTCGCGCAATTTCGAAACTTTATTCTCTCGATTTATTTATTTTATCGACATGATATTATCGATTATTTGCGATTTTCTATTTAAAATGTCAAACGTGTACATTGTGTCATCATAAGATATATTTTGTCTCAGAGCCATTACTTTGACTGCGACTATGAGAAGGGTGAAGATAAGGGTGACGGCGGCCTCAGCGCCGGTACGCCGATGTTCATCTCCGAGGTGATGCACGGCACTGCCTGCGCTCTTCTGTAAACCGACATTTCTTCCGGTTCCGTTTTTTCTCTCAACGGGCCAGACATCTACCTGATTATAACACGCACAAAATGGCAAGCGGCGCTAAAAAAAACGGCAAGGAAATATCGACGAGAGCCTCATGTCACACAAATATGTATAATGCATTTATATATTTTATTATGTATAAAATATCTAATGCTGCGCAAAGAGAGGGAAAGACACTCTGGTGCATTTCGCCACTCTTATTTTCTTAGCATTCGATATAAACCTGTGTGTAACTATCTATGATTGTACTACACATATTGCGAAATATTAGACGACATAGGCCGTTTGCGAAATTATCTTCGACATTTGTGACAACCACGTTGACATTCTCAACGCGAGTTATTTATTTTTATTGTGACTGGCTCGTAAAGACTAATTGTAGAGAGAGAGCACGTTGATTATTATAGCGTCTGCTTTATTACTATCAATTGTGTTGCGCTCATTTCAATTGGAATTTTACAATAGAGCTATGATGGATATGAAAGAATGAATACGACATCCTGATCCATCACTTCAAAATTGTTGCGTTTTGAACTGTCATTATTTGAAAGTCTGACGATGATATATCTTATAATTTTGCAAAATATATATATTCTCATATAAATTTCTATAATATTTGGATATTTTTCTCTTGGGTTTGAAGATACAAGGAAATATATACAACTTAAACGAGCTCGAAAAAATTAAAAACTATGCCAATTTTATTTAACAAATATAACAAAAAATATATGCTCTATGATTGGCATATGTTTTAACATATTATATGATGTGCTATATAAAAGAATTTGGTCTGCACATGCACTACGCCATGTAATACGCCAGCTTTATCATTGACCAATGTATTGGCATATTAGGTAGAATGGTATCACACACACACACACACACACACACACACATACAAACAAACAAACAAACACACACACACACACACACACACATATATACATTTTCTCTCTTTATTACACACACACACACACACACACACACACACACACACACACACACACACACACACACACACACACACACACACACACACACACACACACACACACACACACACATATATATATATATATATATATACATGTATATATGTGTGTGTAAGTGCACGAGCGTATATGCATGCATGCAGATACGTGTGCCATCGCATCCCGCCGACATTTTGCCTGCATCGCTCGCGGCGAGGTGCGCTACCCCTTCTTCTTCAACTTGGCATTCTACTTGGTTGATGGCATCATTTATCGCAAGAAAATGGTTGAAAAAAAAAAAAAAAATATATATATATATATATTTCAAGAATTTATTTGTGTTTTTGTTATATTGAGCATCACATTTGCAACAAAAGCTATGTTAATAGCTCTACAAATTACTTTATATGGCATTAAGCATATCCACATCGAAAGTCGAAACATGCAATTTATGATAGTCGGCCTATTTCTCGATGCCGTAATTTCCAACATAGAGTTATTTGTCCAGAGTTAGACATTCTTAGCTTACTTTTTAAGCTTTGTATGTATGTATGTACTTTTATTAAAGAAAGTTTTGATAGTACGTTTATTATCGTACATATCAAGATTTTAAGGCATATACAGTCGGATGCATTTCAGTATAAAGTATTTATAAATATATTTTATTATAGGCGAATTTCCGATTCTTCTCGTTTTTTTTTGCGAGTAGTTAAACTATACAAATTGCAAAAAGATCTTCTTTTTAAGATATATGACAGAGAAATTTTTCATAATTATAAACACACTTCATTAATGCATTCGGCTGTACTATGCTATGTGAATGCTTGAAGACAAAAATTTATTATCAAAGAGGATATTGTTGCAGAGCGTTTTTTATATTGTTTACGCCAGGAAATGATAAAAAGGAAATGATCGTATCGCTTTGTTACAGTACACGCGCAGAAAAGAATCTAATCCTTTATAAGGCTCTTTTTAAAGAAACGAGTATTAAAAAGCATTAAAAATTTCTTATCTTCTACCCAGGAGAGAATGGTTAAATAACTAACAATTCTAAAAGTAGTGGTTTTTTCTGTGAAGAATGTTCGAGAAAATCGAAACTCATGAAACACATGAAAGTATCCTAGATCAAGCCCACGAATGAGGCCACAATGTTATTGTAATGTAAATTCATGATGGGCAAAGTAGTGAAACAGTAATCGAAGAATTCCAACAAAATATAATACAGTGTACCTGCCTATATTTGTTTTTATAAAAATCATTTTTTTGTATTTTACAGCAAAAGGGAAACATTTATACTGGTGTAGTTGCAGTTATGCAGTTTGAATACATAATATTACCATACGTTATTTCATATAGCATTTAAACCCCGAGAAATACTTATATTCTAATTACAATTTTTTTAAGCCTCAGATATATTTAATGTAAAATCCACGTAAATATTTAATGTATAACCATGTAAGTACGCATGCGAGGGTTTTTTTTCACGAGAGCCTATTGTGTTTTAAAATAATGTTAAAACAACGAAATATTTTACACATTACTAGTTCTTCTATTAGAAGTATATTGTACACAAATTGTGTTTATTTACTCTTTCTAACTTCTCTCTCTTTTTTTTCTCTTTCTTGTACATGCGTGCATGCATGCGTACGTATACCGAGTATAGATATATGTATATAGAGAGACAAGTTAAAAGATAATAAATAAAAAATATGTGCAATCTCTAGAACGCAAGAAAATTTTAATGAATCGATTAGAATGCGAGGAAAGACAAAGTGACTGCTTAACTTCGGTGCTTCCGATTAACCTTATTATCCAACAAAGTTATTCATGCCATATAAAATAGTTTTCAATTGCATAAACAAATTATTAATTATTTTTATCTGGGAATATTACTCGATTACGAATTATTTTTTACCATTCTGCAAATAAAATGTGTGTTGTGTGATCACATATTTGTAATATATACATATATAAAATCCGGGAAGTAAGAAAATGACCAGCATTATTATATAATAGTTATTGGAAGCACAAAGAATGATGTATGGGGTATATTGTATATAAATAAAGCATTCTTCAGATTTCATTAATCTAATCGATTCGGAAAGTTCGTCTTTTCTACAGAGTAGGAAAGATTTAGTTGTGGATACCATTTTTCTTCACGTACACACGCATACACAATACTTAATTTCCAGCAGGAAATATTTAAGTCTCAGAGTCAGTCAACTGTCATTTATACTTTTATATGTCATTCTCAGTATATATACTTTGTCCGTCTTTAAATATATATTTCGAAGTATTATATTATATATATAGTAAATCTGTCTCTCTGATACAAATATTTGTGTAATCGCCGATATTCAAATATTTAATATTGTAAATCAATGTAATTGAAAGAATACGCATCTCTTTTGCGTATTGGACCATAACTTTACATTCGCACTAAGTTCGGAAATTATAATAAATCAGAGCGCACACTATATTAAAGTCTGCAAAAAGGAATGTCAATAACAATCGACATTGTATATTACGATAGAACTGTCAATTAATTATATTTTTTAATAGATTACTGAATTGAATGAATTTGAGAGAGTAAGAAGAGAAGGGGAGAAGGAAGGATAGGTCACACACACACACACAAAAACACACACACAACTAAAGTCGATCAAAATGTCAATTTGTTAATAATTGGGCGTAATTTGTTTAGCAAGTGTATCTGTTAATATAAGTATACTTAGGAAATATGTCGCGACTTGGAACTGTTCTTGCATTAAATCGGTCGTTTGAAACCATGGATAAAATAACATTGTGTAAGATCTAGATCAACATGTGTATGCAAAAAGTATTTATTCTGTGTATGTATATGATGTATAGAGAAAGTGAATAATATATATGACAGAAGTCTTTATATATATATAT